TGCTCCAGTAATAATAACATGCTGTTCCAGAAATAACATAACTCACTGCTCCAGTAATAACGTAACATGCTGTTTCATTAATAATATAACATACTGATCCAATAATAATGTAACATGCCATTTCAGTAATAATATAACTCACTGCTCCAGTAATAATAACATGCTGTTCCAGAAATAACATAACTCACTGCTCCAGTAATAACGTAACATGCTGTTTCATTAATAATATAACATACTGATCCAATAATAATGTAACATGCTGTTCCAGTAATAACATAACTCACTGCTCCAGTAATAATAACATGCTGTTCCAGAAATAACATAACTCACTGCTCCAGTAATAACGTAACATGCTGTTTCATTAATAATATAACATACTGATCCAATAATAATGTAACATGCTGTTCCAGTAATAACATAACTCACTGCTCCAGTAATAATAACATGCTGTTCCAGAAATAACATAACTCACTGCTTCAGTAATAACGTAACATGCTGTTTCAATAATAATATAACATACTGATCCAGTAATAATGTAACATGCTGTTCCAGTAATAACGTAACATGCCATTTCAGTAATAACATAACTCACTGCTCCAGTAATAACGTAACATGCTGTTTCAATAATAATATAACTCACTGATCCAGTAATAATGTAACATGCTGTTCCAGTAATAACATAACTCACTGCTCCAGTAATAACGTAACATGCTGTTTCAATAATAATATAACATACTGATCCAGTAATAATGTAACATGCTGTTCCAGTAATAACATAACTCACTGTTCCAGTAATAACATAACTCACTGCTCCAGTAATAATAACATGCTGATCCAGTAATAATACAACTCACTGATCCAGTAATAATGTAACATGCTGTTCCAGTAATAATATAACTCACTAATTCAGTAATATGCTGTTCCAATAATAATATAACTAATTGCTCCAGTAACATTGGTTATTTTTATCATTTGTTCTGAACTGTTAAGAAATTGCTTTCTGTGTGACGTGTACTAAAGAAGTGATGTATGGTAAGATAAGAAAATGAGAGTGACAAGAACATCAAGTTGCAGTGCGAGTATGTTGAGTGTATAAACATTTAGCTACAACAGAAACTGCACTGATGCAGATGACAAGATCGTTTTTTAAAACAAAGATCAGGTCGAGTGTGGCCTATTGGTTAGTGTGCCTGAATGTGGAGGAGAGGTTACAAGTTTCACGCTCTGTTACCGAAAAAGAAAATACGCCGTACTTTGGGATTTTGAGAGCATTATAAGAGTAATAGTTAAATCCCAATATTCGATCTGACAACAGTCGCCCTAGAGCTGGTGGTGGGTGGTGTTGACTAGCTGCCTTCCCTATAGTCTATCACTCTAACATTAGTGGTAAGAAATTACACATGGTGGTTGTTAATAGAGAATAAAAAAGTTAAAGTTTAACCAACCAAAGACGACAAGCTGTGAACTACAGATTTAATATATACTGTCGTAGATACGGCGTTTCGGGCAATGCCATTTTTCATTTATTGTTTAGCTAGAGAAACTTGAAGATAGGCATTACTCGAAACGTTGTATCTACACCTTGTTTTCTTTGGTGGGTTAACCCTACATCACACTTACGTACGATTCGAGCAGGTATAGGCCTTGTGTACGAAATCCAAACAAACAAGACAGTATTCTTATTACTGTATTAAATAAAAATGTACAACGTTGTAGGTCAGTACGTATTAATTTAAAAAAGACACAACAACGTTAGTTGCATATATATATATATATATACCAACCGTTGTAGATATCGCTTCCTGCTACTCCACTCAATGACGCCATTCATCGACAAAGCCATGGTGACAAAAAGCCTAAGCAGCCAAGTCACAACCGGTGAAGTCTATTAGTCAACTACCAGACTGTCACTCAAACCACTTTCAAAATACTAAGTTACTTTTTTCTTCCATCAGTTAACGATAAGTTTACATGAAGTTCAGCTTGTGTTTCTAAAACAGTTACTATTTGTCATACATAACTTGATGATGAAAAAGCTTGAATTAATTATATATATCTCCTAGCGACAATGTCTCGAGCGGTAAAACTTAGACGCACGTGAAATCCTCTCAGAGAAGTAACAATACAAACGATGCTACCTGGCGTAGTTTGGCTCGACACACTCCCAGAAAAAAACTTGTAACATCGGGTAGTAGCGTTGTCTAGCGAAGAATATAAAGTCTTGACAGCTTTTAGAAAGGGATCTCACGATGTAAATAAATCAATCAAAACATCGCCAGCTTTAAGTGGGCAAAATTGGATTTACTGAAGAAATGTGTACAACGTTTCGGCAGCCATCTTTGGGTGAGTTATGATGTAAAGTTGGCGAGTTATTAATTAATGTATAAATTTCTTGGCTTCCCCCCTAGTTTACCCAACCGTATTACCACAGAATGGGTCACCCAACTTCACAGACTCGGGTCCTTTCGTAGAGTCTCTCTAGTTGTTAGTCGGCATGACGACTAACACTAGTGGCCTACTTCAAGGTAAGGGGGTGCAACTTTTCTTACCTGAGCTGTTGAAGGACGTGAGTAACATATGGAATGTTGTTACCTGTAAAACAATGACAAAGTTTTGGTTGTGTGTAGGGCACAAGGTAATTGTATTTCCTTAACTTATCTCCACAACAACCTAAAAAAAGAAGGGGTTAAAAGGGGAATCACAACTCATACGGTGGTACGTGACTGAAAGCAACTCGTTAAAGCGGTACTATGCTCTGATATTCACCTAATATATAAATATCATAACTAATTTTTGTTCTTTCCCTAACCTTAAGGCACGCATATTTCTTTTCAGTCTCACTTAATCACGCCCTGGTGAAAATAACAGCCGATAAGATCAAGAGAAATAGATAGCATATTTAGAACAAAAACATAAAACGTTTCCGTGCCTCGACTGTTTTCCCCACAGGATAGTTAATCATTAGCACACCTGTGGTGTACTGTAATAAAAGTCCTGCCACAGTAATTAACAGTTTTTACACGGCTGAGCTATGGTTCCCAAGACGGATAATATAAAACTGGGTGCTTGTTTATTTGATACGCTTAAATATATGGTAAAACGTATTACTAGGGCCCAGAAGGAAGTTAAAGATTACAATAACTTGGGTTCTGATACTGGTTTCGTTTTTTTCAATGAGTAGAGCGAGGACAAACAACGTTTTAAAATTAACTGATATTTGTATCGTAGCTTTCATCCACTGTAAGAATTACCGGATATCAAGCTGTGAGAACAGAGAACGTAGCTTTCATCCACTGTAACAATTACCGGATATCAAGCTGTGAGAACGTAGCTTTTACACAGTGTAACAATTACC